GATCGACAGGAACGTGGGTAGTCAATACGATTGGATTTTGCTTGTTGTAAGGGTATTTGTGTTTTGAATTGGATTGTGGTTAATGGATCAATTCATTCATTCGTATTCGTAACTTTTGTCTCTCAGGTTTCAACTTTCCACCATTCTTTTTAGAAAATTTGGGAATGAGTTCCACCGCTATCGGAAAAAGGCGGCCGCATTCAATTGTATTGGAATTGAAGTCTTCCAATTGGATTACATGTTTCTGCTAAAGTGCTTAATCGACATTTTTTTCGATTCCAAATATTTGATTGTTGAATAATAATTTATTAGTACTTGAATCACTCTCTCATCACATCTATACAACTCAATTTTTGTCTCCCATTTGGACACTCACTTACCGTTACTTTATATCTTGTCCATGTTTGAGGTCTATATATATATTTTTTTTTATGTAAATAGACTTCAGTCTTGTTTTGTACTAAGCCGAAACCTCAGATATATCTCATGCTAGCTTCACCCCTCACCAAACGGAACCTCAACATACATTTCGCCTCATTCTACTGAAAGTCGATAATTTCTACTCGCCATCGTTGTCCACTCCAAGATAACTTCTTACTCTATTGCGGATGTGTAGAAGGACGTGAAGGCTTCCTTTTTTCGTTTTGGTTTCGAGTGCAGACAATTGCAACAACGGAAGAGTAGACATCTTGATTCTGCTTGTCTGCCATGAGTTCATTGTAATAACCATTGAGAGTGTTCATCCTGTCTTTTCCAAGGTGCGGTCGTCCGCTGTGGCGGGTGCTTGCTCGAAACCCTCAAAATTGTCGATGGCTCTCAGGTAGCATTACCCTGGGCCGGGTGGCCACTCGCACTTGGTCGAGACATAACGAGACATACTGGTGGCCGAGGCGGAAAGGAGGATTGCACGCCAGCTTGTCATTCGTTTGGGGTTCAGAGAGAGATACCACTACCAGCGGACCCTCTAGGAGTTACGGGAGCAAAAGCGATGGAATTCATGCGAGCGAAGGGACAACAGACAAAGATATCACCCATCAAGAGGACAGGCACAAAAACACCACGCCCAACGATCATGCATACGCTATGGATATAGAGTCACAAGACGAGCAAGACTTAGAACTAGACAGCGAAGAAGGGAACGATCCATCATCGTTCGATTTCGCCTACTCGCATCGACCTTCGAAATGGGAGGCAAACAAGAGCTTGTCGGCTGAGGAGCTGCCGGATAACGATGACTTAAAAGAGCTTGAGAATTTTGATGTCTCTGAAATTGGGCCTGAATATCTGCATTCCCCGGATAACCTAGTTACGAATGTAGAATATGTCGACCAAGGGTCACCCGCAATATCTTCTCACCAGCATGGCCAAGAATCTTTACAGTCAAGACGAGTCACTGATCTTCAGTACAAACTGACATCACAAGATTCGACACACGGAGGGGATACGCCTATATCACGCACAATCCATGTTCTAGGAATAGGGCCTATTGGACAATTCATTGCATATAATCTTGCTGAAATGGATTCTCCGCCACCTGTTACTTTACTAATGCACCGGCCACTGTTGATTCAGCAATGGCACCACTCGCGTCAGGTTCTCAGAGTATGCAGGGATGAAATCATCACCGAGCAATCCGGTTTCGATGTTGAATTATCCGCAAGTTTTAATATTCCGGGGCCCGAGTCAGAGACTAGTACCACTGAGCATAGATTTGGATACACGAACGAGGTCATAGACAACCTGATCATCACAACGAACGGCGACAAGACAGTGGCGGCACTTACATCCATCAAGCATCGTCTTCGGCCTCATTCAACCATATGTTTTGTGCAACATGGAGCAGGTGTCATTGAGGATGTCAACAAACATGTTTTTCCAGATTTGCAGGATCGTCCTCATTACATGCTTGGTAATTTATCTCATGGATTATTTCCCGCAGATCAGCTATGGACTGTGGCTCAAACCACGCAGGGAGAGCTGAAGCTTACAATTCCTCAATATGACACCAGCGCGCCCGCCAACGAACCATTGTCCCAAAGCTCAGACAGGAAGCTCACAAATAACTGGGCACCATCTTCAAGATATATGTTAATGTCATTGAGTCGTTCTCCTGATCTTAAAGCCATAGGCTTGAACTATCCTGACTTCATGAAATTCCATCTTGAATACATAGTCGTCAATTCAGTCATCGGGCCGTTATCTGTCATTTTTGATTGTTCAAACGACCAACTGTTGTACAATTACCAAGCGAGTCAGACCATGAAGTCACTCTTGTGGGAAATTTCGTATGTTGTGAGAAATCTTCCGGAGCTTGCGACGGTAGAAAATCTTAACAAACGTTTTGGGAACCGCAGGTTAATGAGCATGATACACTCGGTGCTTGCTCGTAGCGGGAAAAATGTTACATCTATGTTACACAACGTCAGGAGTGGAATGAAAACGGATGTTGACTTCTACAATGGCTATCTCGCTCGGAGAGCAAAAGAATTGAACATTCCGTTCTCTTCAAATGAGTTAGTCATAAGTATGGTTAAAGCAAAACAAGCCATGAGGTCGAGGGAGATGAATTCATATATACCCGCGGTTGATCGGAGATAGATGGAATGTAAAGGCATACTGGGTTTGTGAGCGAACGAACTAGGTATGCTTTACCATGTAGGAGTGTACGTTTATGTTAGAATTAGCAACACCTGTAAATTACATCTTAGAAATCTTATATACTCGGTCACTCGCAAAAGCGACACTTTAGATTATAGATCAATGAATAATGCACATATGCCTCTCTTGCAAATTCAATCATCAATGCGCTACTTGATCTTTCTATGGTCCGTCGACAAGAGGCTTCAAGATTTATCAATATAGCAACAAGCCCATTGGCATGTTACTTTGCACCCGGTGAGCCACCCCTATGTATGTTCGAATCCAAACTCAAGGCCTCGGTGAGCTTTTATCTGAAGATGCTTCCCAATGCTTGAATCGATCTTAGTTTCCTATTTGTAATAATATTACAAATTGACTAGATTAATATGTCAATGAAAAATCATCATCAATCAATTTATCGTAAAATTGAAAAGTTATGATTCACGGTTGTAGTATAATGTAGTTTTGCCCAAAGAGGGGTCGCCAATTGTAGTATTCGCCAAAGCTTGGTTACCACAAGGCTGGCATCGCAAAGTTACCACACCCCTCATTTTCTTCAACCAGAACAAAAATCACACACACCCAACACCTTAATTATGGAAGACGACGATTTGGCACAGGTAATTCTTGGAAAAGACTTAGTCATGGTTAATACTAATTATTCTTTAGATCAGAAAAGCTCGTCTTGAGCAACTGAAAACCCAAGGCGGAGGAGCAGGTGGTAGACCAGGCGCAGCAGGCGGTAGTGGAGGACAGGAAGATGGCAGACAGTGCGCTTTACTTTATCGAAGATTTATACAAATAGCTAACCTTTTGCGCCATAGACAGCAAGAAGAAGCGGCTCGCCAATCCATCCTGACCCAAATTCTCGAACCTGAAGCGGCAGATCGTCTAGGTCGTATTAGACTTGTGAAGGAGTCGCGAGCCGTCGATGTTGAAAATCGCTTGATTATGCTGGCGCGTTCGGGACAGTTGAGATCGAAGATTACGGAGGAACAATTGAAGGATTTGTTAAGCAGTGTGTCGGAAGCTCAGGAGACGAAAGAAAAGATTGTGGTTACCAGGAGGAAGGGTGCTTGGGATGACGACGATGATGATCTTTTCGACTTGTAGTTTGTGGTTCGGGGATTAGGGGGTATTTAGTGAGCAGATGTTTCAAGAATGGAATCAATAATGCTGGGACAATCTTTGGCCTCCGAGGAGAAGGAGTTTATATTGCGAAATTTTGGGAAATCTATTGCTATGGTATCAAATTACTGTGCCATCAAGTCCTCCTTAAGTTGCCTTTTGAGCCTTCTTTCTCTCCTTCTCCATTCGCCTGATATCTCTGAGATCAAGAGGCTTTTCAATGCCCAACTCCTCTCTCAATTCTTCCACGCTCCTCTCCAACTGCTCCTCCCAATAAACATTAATAACTTCCTCCGCTTTCAATCCATTCGCAAACGCCCACGGCGCATATATTGTAAAGAATCTCCTCCTCTCTGCCGGCTTCAATGACATCACAGCAAACATACTCAGACCCGTCATTGGCAACAGAGTATTAGCAAACTCAAATGCCTTAAGCGCCACTTCGCCTTCCCTCACAATAGGTAGTCCCGTTATAGCATGATAGAAATCGTGACATTCGCGATACCGTTGCATAACATATGCGCATTCTTCATCATCAATGTATTTTACCGAATCTCGTGTATCGGGCGAAACTCCTTCGCGGTCCAGCCATTCTGCGTAGCACCTGCCTACAGTATTGGGGGGCAGCGCCCGGAGTCGTGTCATAGAAAGAGTCCTGGAAGATATCCTAGGGCGATCGCGCAGTATACGTCGACCGGTGGGAGAAGAAAGCATGGCATCGCGAAGACGGTATATGAAGTACGGTGTTGCGGTAGCTTCTCCGCAAGCTGCAATTAGATCTAGTTCCCCAGATTAGTTGAGAGCAAATGTGGTTTTAGATGATCAATTCATACCTGCGCGATAAGGATTGAAAAATGCCATGACTGCTGAGCCCACAGCCAAACCACCCCGCTCAAGGGAAGTAAGTGGTACATGGCCTGGATAATTTGGAGCGGGACGATGCAATACACTGAAGCTTCTGGTAGCTAAAGTAATAGAGCAGGCGGTAAGCAATTCCCTGGGGAGGCGGGATGCCTGGGTATAGAGACGAGGAGATAATGACATGTTCGGATTGTAACTTTGGATTGACCCCTCCAATGTTGACGGGGTGGGATGTTACTGTAGATCAGCTTCACTTATATTGCCTGCCGCTCTTTCGTCGAAATAGCTCTCGGCAAAAGCAGCACTAGAAGAAGAGTTTAATGCTACAATTCACATGCGCACGACAAATGATAGATGAGAATTTACATTGAATAATAATTAATCATAAAGTACGGATGCTCTTTCAAATGCTTATATCTAGTAGTTCTAAGTAAAGCTTGTGGAAAATATCAACCTACGGATCAATCATATATCACGATTTCACATCTTCTGCAGCAAGCAGCCCCTTCGTCTAACGACGGCGCGAGCATGGACATGCAAGTACATGAAGAGTTTACCAAATGGGCTGTAAATCAAGGCGTCATTATCAATAATGCTTCGCCTTTCCGATTCCCAGAAAAGGGCCTGGGACTCATAGCGAACAAGAATTTCGAGGTAAAATAAAAGAGTTGCTACATGGAATTTCACTCCTCTCAAAAAGTCATGCGCTTGCTAATCTGTAGTAGATAGGTGATACTCTGGTGCAGGTTCCCATAAAGGCGCTTCGTAAAGCTACAGATGTACCTTCACAGTTTGCAGCACTGGCACCTGAATTAGCTGTTCATGCTCTCTTTGCTCTATCTCTTGACGCGCTGCTCGGGCCGGAATGGAAAGCTACTCTCCCTGCCAAACAGGACATGCATAGTTCTATGCCTTTATTCTGGGAGCCCTCACTACAAGAGCTTCTTCCATACTCAGCCCAAGCTCTTCTTAAGACGCAAATGGAGAAAACCAATTCTGCTTGGACAATCATCTGCAAAGCATTTCCAGAACCACCCATAGCCTACGATGAATTCATGTACAACTATAGTATTGTCAACAGTAGGACGTTCTACTACCTTTCACCGAATATCAAATCATCCAAACCACAACCATCAAACCAGAATCGTCTTGCGTTGAATCCCTTCGCAGACTACATAAATCACAGTTCAGAACCCACGGTTGATGCTACTCTAAGTCGTGCTGGCTACACACGTGAGCAATATCATTCCTTTAACTTACTACCCCTAATCTACATGTCTTGTCACCCTAACCTCCATAACACAATTTCTGTAACACCCACACCTCTCCACAAAGTCCTCGCCTAAGCCCATTCCTAGACCCATCAGCAATCGCTAACCCCCAACAATCTAGTCACGGCCTCGCGCCCCATCAAGCAGGGCTCCGAAGTGCACATTTCCTACGGAAGCCACAACAACGATTTCCTCCTCGTCGAGTATGGTTTTATACTCCAAGACAACCGATGGGACGAGGTAACCCTAGATCCCTGGATCCTACCATTACTTAACCGAGAGCAAAAAGAACATCTCAAAGAGATGAGGTTTCTCGGTAACTACCTCCTCGATCACGACACCGTATGTTATCGCACGCAAGTAGTCCTCAGGATTATCTGTCTACCGATAGGGAGATGGAGAAGATTTGTACAAGGGTCGGAGGGCGAAGAGGTGTCTCAGAAGGCTGCGGATAAAGTTCTATTGAACATACTAATGGCTGGTAAGATGGAGATCATAGAAACAGTCAAGGAGATAGACGAAAGCCAGGCAGGACTTGAAAGTCAAAGGAATACGTTGAGCAGACGTTCGAAACAAATGGTTCTGTTGCTAGATAGAGCGTTAAATCGAACTAGATGCTAAACTTCGTTAAATTTTCACTTTGCGTTGCATGATGGACTTCTTGAGAAGCCCCCTCAACCTCACTAAATCACGACATGAGGCTCTGGCTGTTCTATTGATGTTCAGTCAATCAATCCGCCATCTTGTGTTTTGCAATACACTTTGTTCGTCTTGGAAGAGCAAATATTACTGACACTTGAAGCATCCTGCGAGATGGGTCAATGGAAGTCGGTGCAACTACACAGAAGGTAGAGACTGATTGAAAAGCAATCATCTGACAGCTCAAGATACATTCATCGTGTGAATCACACTTCTATGGTACATGCTTTATTTTGAAATACAAGTTAAGAACTGAAAGTGCTCATTATTCCAAATAACAATTATGCCAGATCCCCGAATTCAACGCCCTTTCCGTTATCTATACCTCATTCTGGTCTTGGTCTTTTGGCGCCGTGTGGATTCTGCCAGTCGCCACCAGCGCTTTGATTTTGTTGAAAGAAAGCAGGATTAAAGTGTGGTTGCATAGGTTGGAAGCCATTCCCGCCTATTTTCTCGAGTCAGTGATAAATCCCGTATTCCCTTCATAGCGTTTAATCTCAGCTGATGAGTAGCATTTTCGACGTACCTTGCATTGCACCACCCATCTGTGCCATGTTACCCATGTTCATAGGCATTCCCATTCCGCCCATTCCACCCATTGGCATACCTCCCATGGGCATACCTCCCATCATATTATTTCCCATACCCCCTCGGCCGCCTCTCATACCTCCAGGTCCACCCCGCATACCACCCATCATACCTCCACGATTGAATCCACCAAATTGATTTCCCATGGGATTCCCTTGAAATCCGCCACCCATTGAAGAATTAAAGCCCCCGCCCATAGCTCCTCCTGAGCCTGCGAAGTTACGATTGAAATTGCCTTGGTTCATGTTGTTGTTCATGCCTCCACGAGAAGAGTTGTATCCACCGCCACGGCCACGGAAATTACCACCAAAGTTGCCTGAAGTATGACTGCCCCTCTCACTGTTGTAGCCTCCGGGTCCTGAGCTTGATCGACTATTTTGGCCTTCTTTCGTGGCGCGGGCTGGCGCGTCTTTGGGTAACGTGCGGAATGGATTGACATTTGGATTGTGGAATGTGACGGTCTGCTTCTTCACATATTGGTGACCTTCGCCGAAAGCGTCAATCTTTCGTTTCACTGCCGTTGCAGCTTGTTGAGAGGTGAATTCTACGTAGGCTTGTCTGTGCAGAGAGTCAGTAGATGCTTGGCATTGGAAGATACTGTGTGTAATAAATCACCCCTTGCTCTTTCCATTAACCTTGTGCTCGGAGAAAGTCATCTCCTTCAGCTCATCTTCGACTTGAGCCTGATTGATCCATCCCCGGATATCATCGTCGGTGTTCCACCAGTGTAATTCTGATATGAGCAAGGCTGTAGTCGCACCTTGATCGATTGGGCGATCGTCGGAGCCTTCCTTCCTCTTTACACCTTGTTGTTGAGGGGCCTGTTTGGGTATGTTGAGAATATCTCGTCCAGATTCGTCGGTACTCTTTATCTTTTGTTGGCCTTCAGCAAGTTCATCCTTCTCATGACTAACCTTGATATCTACATAATCGTCATCTTGTTCTTCGTGTTTACCATTAGTTTCGGCAGCTGGTACGACAGAAGCTTCAAGGCCGTCAATCTTGACATCGCCTTCATCATCCTTCTTGAAAATTGTATCCTGTTCAGTGTTGGTATCTCCATAGATATCAATGTCGAACTCGTCATCAGCCATGGCGTCTGAATGTGCACACGAGGTACCTTGACTTTCAAGTGGAGGGTGAGTTTTGATTGAAAAATGATGTTTTGTATTGCTTATGAACAGAGTGAGTTGATGTTATGCCACAGGAAATTGGATTCTGTGAGAAAATAGAAACAGGATCAGCGGGTGAAAACAGAAGAAGGGCCATTGGATGGTAAAGGTCAACGCATGTATAGCATTGGAAGCAGAGTCTGAAATACATGGGATAGAATTCAATGAATACGTACACTCCTAAAACCTGGAGGATATTGCTTCAATAAGTGAGGTCAAAGTCCGAGAGCCTTCTTTGGCAACTACAGACAGAATGGAGATACAAGACGAAGCTCTGTGCTTGCAGTCTCTTTGAATTTTTGATGTAAAGAAGCCCAACAGATGAATAAACCTCCTATGCCGAGATATTGGAAGAAAGAGGCGAGGCAAGAAAATTGTAATCCAGCCTGAAATTGAAAAGCAGAAATGAAGATGTCAGTTGTCCAAATGCCTTGTTCATCAATAGCAGAAGCACAGAGTAACCGAAGCCTTGGTGTACAATTCCGTCCCTCAAATACCCTTCACGTCCAGTATTTATTGATTTGCTTATTTGACTTGGGTGTATTGAGTTGAACGGGTGGTGATTGATTGAATGCGACGGAGTTCTCGAGTCGACGTGAAGGTTCGCAATTGATATCTCTCGTCAGGACTCTGAGGTACGAGGATAGTACTTGACAAACTGTAGGTCAAGTCGAGTCGAATGTGTGGTACTTGTGTTCACCTTGAAGGGAAAATCGACTATGAGGGCAGAATATATCTATTCCTGTATTATCGAATTATATGGAAAGAAACTTGTGCTGTGAGAGTTCCATACAATATTTAAGTGTTAGGTGCGGTGTCGCGATGAGCTGAAATCCCCGTAGCTCGAGAGATTGATAATGGAGAGACTGAGTAGGTAATTGAGGAAGTAAAGACCAAGGATTGAGAAGGGGCATGTAAAATCAACAAGAAGGGAAATTTTGACACTTATACGTCGTTGTCGATGAAGATGACAATAGCGACGATGATATCAAAATGGAGAGAGGTAAGGAAAATGAAAGTTGGAACTCTTTCTTTGATTCTTTCTTCTCTCTCTCTCTCTGTCTACGGTTGGATTTCGCGCGGCCGCTGAGCTTTCAATACCTTTTAGTGCCCAGTGCTAATCTATTACCAGGAGCCAGGCAAGCTCAGGTGCTAACCAACCACTTGTTCCCTGTCAAATTGTCGATGGTCTTAGGTAATCATTCTTAAGTAATCATGGTATTTGATGCCTAAGGTAACACAGTCACACAACTTCACACTCACTACCATCTAGTTCCCTAGCTTTTGGATTTGGAGGCTTCTCATTGGATCAATCTACATGCTGTAATTTCTTTGAGCCTACCTTATCTGGCTTCTTCGAAATTCCCCAATTACCTGATATCTATTTGCTTCACTCGCAACGAAACTCGAAATCTTGGTCAATACAAATTAATCCTTCAATAAAAGCATAATTGGAATCTCTCGAGAATCAATTATCTACTTCCTCAATCCCAACCTCAACTCCTCAACTCCTCAACTCCTCAACTCCTCAACTTCTTCACAACCATGGCGGACCAAATTCAAGAGTTTATGGAGATTCCAAGAGACTTCATCAAAGATGGTACTCAATTTGTTAATAAATGCACAAAGCGTAAGAACCCGTATTTTCCATGCATTTCATCAGGACATGAGATTCTAACATATTGTAGCTGATCGTCGCGAATTCCTCAACATCGCACGAGCTGTCGCTATGGGATTTCTTATCATGGGAGCCGTTGGATACATCGTAAAGTTGATCCATATACCACTCAACAACATATTGGTCGGTGGCGCTTAGTTTGGGGCTGGAAAATGGAGGATGATTTCTGCACTACGGTGACTTGGTCGTTCGTGGGGAGGAGGGGCATAGAACCTGGACCGAACGAGGGCGAGAGGGACGAGATGTTGGCGTATAAATGGATGGAGTTCTCACAAAATCTAAGGATGTATTATATTTGGCCTTGGTGGTAGTTACTGTTCCTGGCATTGCTTGCGCCTGGAACAATTGGTCCTGCACTTCCAAAGTTGCATGGGACTAAATTAAATAATATCCGGCACATTGTCAAAACAGCCACTGTGTATTGCGAGACTTTTTCCTTGTGAACAACGTTGGATAAAGGTCGGAGTTGCGATTTGGTTGACGCTTTACATTATTCCAAAATTATGTTGGATCTAGATCACTGGCGATGTGTCGGATGGTAAAACCACTTCAAACCCAAGTAGGTATGAATACACAAGGAAATGCCTTAGCATGAGTGGATATGCTTGCAACAGATATGAATTACCAATGTTCTATTACCTTGGAGCCAAAGTATAGTGTTGGCTTGGAGTCTAAGAACGTACAATGCCTCTCCCCAGCTTCATCTCTGACGCTTAGCTCATTAACGAGATGATTGGAGGTACGCTCTAGAGGATGAACCTGGAATGAGCAGAACAGCGCATGATGGGGTCACTACCAACCGGTGTATCCCATACAGGGATGGTATATTACTCCATCATTTCATGGAGTGATGTTCACTGGTTTGTCAGAAGCTACTTAGCTGGTGCGTTGAGAAGATATAAACAGAGAGAAGTAAGGATGTAAGAATGTAAGAATGTGAGGCAGCAAGGAAGTTCAACCATGGTGGTGTGGGTTATATATAAAAAAGATATTGAATCGTAGAGTAAGATTGATGAGTGGATAATAATGGTTGGGGATGTGGATGCTCGATACCAAAATCGAGGAGAGCAGATCAAGTGTATACTATAGTTGGGCTAGTATTGCTAGCGCGAGATGTATTGAAAAGACAATTGAACGATAGAATGGCGTTTTACTCGTTGTGCTCGAGTGTATTTATTCAGAGAATGCCTAAGCTCGAGCTCAGATATCCAGTTGTACTGAACGACATGAAAGGATGAGAATGTATTTCGAGGATATATTCTGATGCTTTATTTTGAGAACATACCTAGGCATCTCGAAAACCTGTCCATCGGATTTAAATGGATTTAAGTAATCCTACTCCGTACCTGGTAGTGTGTGATAAGAAACTCCGAGGTACTGATAAGAACAATGACCCTCTTTCCACTACTCCACCCCACTGACAAAGCATCATCCTCACCTCATGATACCTACCACTACACTTTCCCTCGTACCAATACATCTTGAGCAGTAAGCTTCAATTCTGATATATGTCTGATACATTCAACATTATACCAATTTCTCATTTTAATTGACAGGTGCTAAACGTCATTGTCATTCAACTCCCATGAAATCTAAATCCATCTAAAATGAACTTGAAGTGCACCAAGTAGTGCATCG